AAGTACAAATGTTTTGATAGTATATTATTGAAAATGAAACTATTGACAACGCACGCATTACAAATGCACGTTTCTTTACTATAATTTTGATTTCCATTGTCTTCGTTCGTATTACATTTCCACAATCTGAAGAGATATGCGACCCATCAAATTTATTTCGCGACCTAAACACTGGGTCGAGACCCATAGGTTGCGGAACGGTGGCTTAGGGAATTCCCCTATCACTTCAAAGGCCCCGTCAATGGACCTTTCCGCTAAGCCCCGCCCCTTGGATATTGTTGCTAAGGTCCCACAAGACGCGTACGACAGTGTTAAAACATACGCAAACACGTGCGTTTGTGAGACAACACGTGTGTTTGTGAGACGCGCGCGTATTCCTAGCGCTGTTCTGATTAGTCAGTTAAGTTTGATTGACACTCCGGAAAGGTCTATTAATCTTGCAGTGGGGTTCTTTCGCACATAGCTACGCCGCTGCCGAAAGCTGTCGGCGATAGCGTGTAGCGATTGTATGGAAACCAGGCATTATTGACGTTTTGATGAAACTTCTATAATTGTATGCCTACTTGTTTTCATTTTGAATTTGAGCAACAACCAAAGCAAATTCCATTTTTCATATTTTAATATTGATTTTTCAATACAGTATTTTTATCAGATCAGCCGTGTATAGGCCTATGGAAATTTTAAATTTTAAATTTGAAGCGCAGAGACAATGAAGTTATCTGCACAACATGTGACAAAACTCTCAATTCTAGGGCGCAGTATGCAGGGGCGGATCCAGAAATGTCCAAAAGGGGGGGCCGAAAGGGGGGCCGAAAGTTGGGCTGATTGAGACAACACTGTTGTAGGGGGTCCGGGGCATGGCCCCGCGAAATTTTAGTGTTCTAGACGCCCGAACATAACATTTGAGGCATTCTGGGCTATCATTTTTTTCTTTTTCTCTCTTTTTTTCTTCTTTTTTTCTTTTTTTTACCTCCCAAAAGGGGGGGCCGGGGCCGGGCCGGCCCCCCCCCTAAATCCGCCCCTGGTATGGCCCGAATCTACGTTGGTCAGAGAACATAGGACAATCACGGATGAGTGAATCCGTTCTACGTTCACATCGTCGCTCAAACTGAAGGATCTCTAACATTGACGATATGTTAAATAACAAACCAGTGTGTCTGAGCATCTTTCTAGTCCTAACTCCTTTATAACATCATCAACTCTCGTTTCCCTTTCTTTGGTTGTTAACGAACTCGGAAGTCGCAGAGCAGCAGAAAACGCTAGGTTTTCACGTACTGAAAGTGTTCCCATAACAACGTCATCCTGAAAAGATACACATTAGAAAAAGTATGTTATTGTTATTATGAAAATTTATGAAAATTGTATATTTTTTCTTTTTATTTCCTTAGCTATCTAAATATTATATATATAAAAAATAATTGCCCGACTGTTTTGGTTATTATGTGCAGACGGCCGAACAGCGAGTCCATCTCGCCTCTGTATGCGCGCTTGACGACGAAGCACCGTTTGCTGTATCGGTGGCAGTATGAACGAATATATATTGAAAACGATGCGTTGCGGTTGCACTCGCGTTCCGGCCTCTATGGAATCGAGTCAGACGTCCGCCGGCTGTTAAATAAAGCCGAACAAATAATTTCGTAGTCTGAACTGCGCATGCCCGTATCCAAGTTCAATTGACATTAACCTTTGTGGTGTGTATGTGTGTATTATGTTCATGTAGATTGACCTTGATATGGGCATGCGCAGTTCAGACTACGAAATGGCTTATTAAATGCATATACATGAAATCAATGTTTCCAAGTCACCTGAACAACGTATCCAGAAACGAGCCTAAAGTTAGATGGTCGCTGATTTCCATCAATAAGGACGGTACCCATTAGGCCTCGTCTGTCTTTTCGGTCAGCTAGAACATCTAAGAGACTATGAATAAAAACATACGGTAACAAATGCACAAATACTATTGTATTTATACAACTGTGATGTGAATGAAGATAACGCTCTATTCGCAGCAACTATAGGTGACATAAGAAAAGGAATATGGTCATGCATATTTTGTAATATGAAAATGAATTACATTAAGGAGATGTGTGTGCCATGGCGATTGAATGTTTTACATATAACAATTACAGGTTATGTGTAAAAGGAAGGGATTTTTTGAATGAGGCAAACGTAGAGTACTTCATACATTGAGTTGGTGTTATATTATTAATCGATACTATATAGGGTCTGTTTAAACCCAGTTCTCATGGGGGTGTGTTGTCGTATATCCTGGGAATGCAAATAAATAATAAAAATACCCTTGAAAAGCCCAAACCATTATAAAAGGCCAACTAATTGTATATAATACAATGCTATTTACACTGCGGATTTCAAGTTGTATTGTGCAAAGTATTATGCTTGTAACCAAACAAACGGTGCTGTGTATTTCTCATATAGTTTGACGACCTCATTATACAACTGTGTATTAGTTTTTATAATGTGCTTCAACGGAGTTATATAAAACAAAATCATAATTAACTGGGATAAATTCCATGTTAATAGTCAATACTATAATCGTTATAAAATATTGTTTGAAGCAAGCATTAATATATTATAATCGATATATTCACTTCATTCTCCTTTTGTTCATAAGGTAAAGACTGACACACACACACGGCAGCATCGTTTGTTTACTTCAATTGTTAAAAGATTATATTTACATAATTTATAGTGACATATGGTTAAGGCTACATTCGGGAAATATGGTTAAATAAACAGGTTTATCATAGATAGTCTAACAGCAGATTATGAATAATGTTTTGTATACACTCAAGACATTAAAGTAAACATATATTTTGAAAACCACACTGCCTCGAAATTAATCATGACTCCAAGTTGAGAGATATACAGGGCCTACTTTACTATATATTAAAAAAAAAAATGTGTTGAGTCTATAGTTAAGAAGCATAGAAATATAGCTTAACAATAGTATATATTATTCATATATTATGAAGATCTGCAAGACATCACACGGATGAGTATTGTCTTTCTCTGTGTTTTTAATAATCTTTCGTACTTACGAGGTTTTACCGCTGCCCGTCGGCCCAAGAATAGCATTCATTCCTGGCTTGAAAATACCACTGAAAAGTTAGAAGATTACAAAATCAACAACACATTCAATAAAAAAAAAATACAATGAATAAGACGTGTTTGGATTAAAGAAAAATAAACACTTTGGTAGTCGTAGATTTTACAAGTTATTTGAGCGCTATTACAGGCTAATAGTTTTCCAGCCAGTCAAAGGTAATAAACTGGTTCTTAATTAATGTGTTTAAAGGGCCAAAATATTTTTAGAGTTGAGTTTTCAGAGCACTGTTATTGGTACACCAAGTTTTTATTAAACATGTAAAACTAAGTGCAAACACTATTGACAAAATACACTGAACAGAACAAACAGAGTCATAAAGTATAAGTATATAGGCCTATATTCTATTTATGGCCTATTATATTTGATCATTTTTATAACATCTCCAAGCTGCTTTTCCGTAAAGCTGTTAGTGCACATGACATGACATGATATTTATATATTTATTTATATTTATATATTATTTGTATGTGTGTGTGTGTGTATGTATGTGTCAATATAACACAAAGGTCAATAGGCCTATAACAAAGTTTTTATTAACTATGTAAAATTAAATGCAAACACTATTCGCGAAATACAATGAACAAAACAAACAGAGAGACAAAACTTGACAAGACAGGTATATGTCGATATTCTATTTATGACCTATTATAGCTGGGTCATTCCCTGTCAACTCAACAAATAGGACGCTGGGTACCGTCTCAGATTTTCTTGAAATTCGGATATAATATAATATATATCAGGAGACTTCGTCTAACGAACAAACCCAAAATTTTATTTGCCAATTCCAAGTCGTTTAGAACTTACGGTCATTTGAAATTTCGGGGTCATACTCCTTTTTAGCTCTCAATTATGACTATCAACCGAGACGGTACCCAACCAAGATTTACTGAAAATTTGTTGAGTTGCCAAGGAATGACCCGGCCCAGCTTGTCATTCGATAATATTAATGTGATTTTCCGTAAAGTTGTCAGTGCACATGACCCAGGGGCTGAATTTTTGTCTTTACTTAGTTAAAAATGTATTCATCGAATGATTATAACGTTGTGCGCTATACAAGCCAAAATTATTATTATTATTAATTTGTTTTAAGTATTTTTTGTTATTATTTTGTTTTTGTTTTTTCTCGAGGGCCAAAGTAAATCAATCTGCGGGCCAAATCTGGCCGCGGGCCACCTATTAAGAACCAGGGATAAATGGCTATGAATGTGGGCATGTGGGACTTGTACCATTCATATTACCGTAGATCGGGTGCGTGAAACAATGACGTCAAAACAGTTACGAGATTTGGAAGTAATCAGCAAGAAAATGTGTTAATTTTGCCAACAAAAAAACACAAAAAAACCACACACACATCCACACACACACATAGGATAACGAAATCAAGTCCTTATGTCGCGGATGTTCCTCGTTGGTGGTAACTCCAACATGTGTGAAAATCATAGACAGAGAAAAGCACAAAACGGCATTATTTTAGTAGTACAGTGTGATGGCTTTTGAAGAAGCGAAGCAGAGTTTTTACGTCGAGGAAAAAACGTTTAGAAAATTCTTAGAGCTTTTGCGTTCCGTCAAATTTCTGGCATTCAATTTAATAGGGTATGGAACATATTGAAATTAAAAACTTGTGTTTCTTTTGAATTATGAAATTGAAAGTTTTCTTTAATTTCTCAAATATTTCATACAAATAATGTTAATTTGTACCAGTTCTATTTTTGAGTTGTTTGGTGCCTGAATATTTGTGTTTAATAATAATAATAATAATAGTTGGATTTGTAGAGCGCATCATGCGAAAAAGCCTCTATGCGCTTGGTGATTGAGCTCTTAGAGTTGGACATTTTGAGAAATAAATGTACATGAATTGAACAAATGTAAACTAGATAGGCATATGCAGCCACTGCTTCTGAAAGTATAATCAAACAATTATGGTTGAACCTTATTTTACTGAAACAAAAAAAAAGAAGCTATGTAATGTGTTTTACTACAAAGAAGCTGGTTGCTAGTTGTTAATAATAAATACATAACAAAACAATTAAATCAATTCATTAGCCAGCGTTCAGTATAATTTATTTGCAAAACTACTTCTACATCATTAAAATATATTGGAATGTCAGTTTCTATTAGATATTTATTTGTTATTAGACAACTACATAAGCCTCTAGGCCTATTTAGTGCCTATGCTAGTTGAAACAACGCATAGAAACATTTTCTAAAAAGTTTAAAGCTGATAAACGAAATATAACATTTTAATTAAATTAGTTAAGTGAATGTATCCAAATTGACCATATTTAATTTTCCTTTTTAACACAGGTTGGGATTTTAATTTAATTATTTAATATTGTAGCTCATTCAATAGACTTGGTCCATTAAATACTGTATATTCAAACGTTATATGGGCCATGGGGGAATATGTTGTAGGAAATGAGAGTTTGAAGACTAAAGTAATAGGTAGGATTAATAATGGCTAGGCCTCCACAATCGTGAAGGTACCTGTCCGTCTTGCAATATGAATAATGGTGTTTATTTATGATCGCCCTCCTTAACTTTAAACCGGGCCATTTTAACTTTGTCAAACGAGAATGCGACTGGTTTGGTATTAACCTATTAAACTTGTGTTAACCAGAAGGGAATTTACAATTCTGTGAATTATTTTTAAACATAATTATAACACATATTTCATGTCGGGCTGTCCATTGTATGTATGCTTAGCATCTAATAAATTATTTTATTCCAGACAGTTGTTATAATATTTAATCGTTTCACGTATTTTCACTTTTGCAGCTGGTATATGCCAACATAAATATATCTTAAATACTGACCCTCTATCCTGGCATAGTAGTGACAAAAATATACGCGTTTTGAGTGACCTAAAACATAGAACAAAGAACTCAAATAGGCCTATCTTGTTTAAAATGAGGTATAGTTATCTATAATTTATACCTCCATGGTTATAACCCATGGTGGAAGCTACCGGGGTGCCCAGCATGTTGCCGAACGGACTGCTTGAGTACACCATAGAGAAAATAGAACTCTATATGAGTACACATGGGTGGCAGTGATGCTGTTTTCGGTATCGGGGCCAGTACTCCATTTGAAGAAAACACCGCGTTATTTAGTATTTTTAAACTAATGTTTTAGGTAGTTTAAGGTTTTGAAGACTGTTGTGTCGTTGCGCCATGAGCATCTTCTTAGAAGGATACCGGTACCATCGGAAACAAATTTCCAGTATTACTATTAATTATCATTATTAGTACTTGTAATATTATAGTTTAAATAAGGGACGAAATTTTACAAATTGTATATTA